TTCCGCTCCTGGCGTGCTGAGGGACTTCGGGGATTGTTCTTCTTCCTTCCTTCTGGGTGTTAGTTGCTGGCATCGGCGTATCCTGTAGCGGATATGGTGGCTGCATGACATTGTTTTGCATCATGAAGTTGACCACTGACTGTAGGTCCGCCAACTTGTTTGCCAAGTCTTTTACTTCCTCATCCCTCCGTAGGCACCTATCCCTCCATACTTGAAGGTTGTCTTCGTTATAGTACTTGCCTTGGTCTATCCTCTTTGAAGCGTCGCCCTCCTGGCCGATGTCTTTTTCACCGTGGCCTTGGTCATGAGTTTCTGCATTATGGTTGTCTTCTTCAACGTCAAGGTCAATTGGTCTGCCACTCCCAGCAGGAGTGTCGCCCCCAATGTTTTGCTTCTGTCCGTTACTGGCCATCTATTCTTCTAAGATTCCCACAGACAGCGCTAAATTGTGTGGGTAATTTTCTGACCACACTGCCCGCCTAGTAATCAGCTGGAGAGCACCGGCAGAATAGATGGTTTCAGCAAACCTGTAACAGAAAGAAAAGGCTCCGGTGGTGGCTCTTCCACCCGGGGGCACTCCGACGATCAAGTCAGTATATCTCTCAAAGATAATCAAGTGCTAAACTCACAAGCTTAAGCATAAAACTGCGTACCGTAGACCCATGGGGGTGCCTCTCTTTTATAGTTTACTCAATCCAAGTCCTACTAGAAGCCTGACTTCTATGGACTCCCATTCAGTGCTTACTTTGGATTCCTCAAGAGATAAAGATAAACTCCCTAAGAGTTTTAACCTTATCTTAGCAAAGTCTTCTCTTTACTCTAGGACTCCTGTCCCTTATCTTTTATCCATTTATCTCGGATTCCGATATCTTCGGATTCCGATATCTTCGGAGATAGCCTCGACCTTGCCGAAATAACCTCGGCGTCACAACCTGGACACGTGGCATCTCGGCTGACACGTCGGCGTCACCTTGCCACGTGTTGGTGTTCAGAAAATACATCCCCACAATTACGATCCATAACAAATTGCCATGTGGGGTTTTGATTCTTTTGGAATGGAAAATCATCTAGAATGGAGTTAGTTTTGTCATACATAATACAATAATGTATAAATCGACCGATTGTACTTTATTTGGGTTGTAAAGATAATTATAGGGCACAATGTTAGGAATATGACCTTTATTTTATGAAATTCATCTGCCTATTTAAATTTATTTTAATTCTCATTTGATACTATACAGTTCTGTAATCATAAGTAATGAGAATATACCAGTAACTTTGATTACATTTTTTTAATATATGTATTGATGATGTGAAATTCATCAGTACATTTAGACTTATTTCAATACACATATTGAATATCATACGATTCTGTAAGCACAAAAAATGAGAATAGACCATACTTTCTTTTCTAACATATAATTTATTATATTTTTGTGTGTGGAGAATACAAGTTTATAAGATTTTTACATTTATTATATTATTAAAAATTATATTTATGTAGTACTTTGTATATAATATAAATAGTTTGATGTGTCTTTACACATTATAGCATAAAAATTTTAAGTAAGCTTCTGATTCTATAGAAATATTTGTTTAGTTAGAATCAGTTTTGTATTGAATTGAATTATATCGGTATAGTGATAAATATTTAACCTAGAAGCGGATCATTTTTTAGGGTTTGGTTTTGGTTCGATTCGAAAGGTTCTATAATTCAAATTGATTCCTAAATTTATGAAATTATGAAGAGTTGTTCAATTCTTCATTCAATTTAATCGATCTATGAACACTTCTATACAAAATAGGATAAATTACAAATACATTTATTGAAATTTGCTAAAAATATCAATTGTTCTTTGTAATTTTGAAAATTACAAATAATCCCTTGTCATCATTTTTTATTTAACAAAATTAACGAAAAAATAATTCTAACTACTCTTTTATACAACAATAAAATTACTTAAATTATTAATTGAAATATATTTATGATATCATTAAAAGAATATAAATTAACTTGATGATTTATTAATAAAAAACGAAACATTTACTCGATCTGCCTCGCTATAGGGTTGGCCCATTTGTAGTATGTACCTTCCTATAGGGCCTGGGCCCAAGTATACAAAGCCTTATTTGGAGTGACCGCTGTACCTTGAGCCCATTCGTTAGTGGGTTTTGGATTAGTGTTGAGTAAAAATAATTGCAAACTAGTCCAATTCAACAAAATCGTAGTTTAATTTAGTTGTCCTAATGCATAATTCGGTCCTAATTCCCAAAATAGATAAACCGTCCTTCACTGTTTGATTCATGATTTTATAGTTATAAATCTAATTTGGAACCGAACCAAATCATTTAGATATATTTATATGGATTAGGCTTCTTATCACTCTTTAATCGGACTGAAAATGTATTGTTGGGCTTATTAGGCCCACTATAGGGTTCTGTTTCAATAATCTGAATTATTCATATTTTTGAATTCGTCTAATAAATCGCCGTTGTAAAAAACTTAAGTCAATCGAATAATTTCAGATCAGTTTTGTATTAAAAAAAAAATGAACGGTGAGAAAATAAACGGTTCATACAAAACTGATCTGAACATGTGATGATCATTATCCGATCAACTTGATTTTTTGTAGAAATGATGTACTCAACGAATCATAAATATGAACAGTTCAAATTATCAAAATAGGGCCGAAAGTAAGCTCAAAAGACTCAAAACACCTCTCTAGTCTGATTACAGGGCCGACCCTGGGGCATAGGCCAGAAGGCCATGGCCTACGGCCCCTCAAAATAAACTAAAAAAAGGGGCCCCTCTTATTATAATTTAGTGTAATATATTAGCTATGTTTTAAGTTTAAAAAAATTAAAAAAGGCCCATACTAACTTAAAATAAATTAACCCATTAAAAAATTGAAAGACCATTCAAAAAAATTAGCATTGTTATCCATTGAAAATAGACCCAAAAAAGGGGGTCTTTCTTATTATAGTTTAGTTTAATATATTAAGTATATTTTAAGTCTAAAAAAAATTAAGGAAGGCCTAAATTAACTTAAAATAAATTGATCCATTAAAAAATTGAAAGGCCAATTTAAAATAATTAGCATTGTTATTCATTGAAAATGATTTTGTAAAAAAAATTAGATTATGCAAGTATGATTGATTTATTTGCTTCTAAAAATACAAGAAGAGTGAGGATCAAGCGATACTTATTAGTTATTGTAATGTAATGCTAAGTATTTTTTTGTGATTTTGACACATCTTTTGTCCTTTACTTTCAATTTTTTTTTTCGTTTAATGAAAAATAAAATGTGAAGGGCCCCAGAAATTTATTAGTTGATTATCGACTTTGGACCCCAAAAATCTCAAGGCCAGACCTGTCTGATTAAGGACTAGAGAAAAGCTCATTCATATATATATACATAATTTGTTACATATCATAAATAATTAAATATCTTACTATTATTCAAATATATATATATATATATAGTACTTGTGACAATCTACTCTTGCAAATGTATAATTATGTTGTGATAAAACTCATTTCAAACAACCATCTAAATAATTTACATATTGTGAACAATATTTTATAATAATGTTGTGAATGAAGACAAAATTTCTATAAATCGTGATTTAAATAAATTCGAATTGCATTTTACCGGTTTAGCTCCAAAATTTCATGGTTTGAATTGGCTTTAAATTTAATAAAATGGTAAGTAATAAATTAGTCATTAATTTACTTCTAAATCCAACTAATTAGAGCCATACTCACCCATAGACCTGGCCCAAAAAAGACTGCACGGGTAGCTTTGACTTTTGTGCCCAACGGTCAAATGATCATTTGATCATGAGCCCATCAATCAAATTGTAATTTTATTTTTTATTTGGGGAAAAAAAAATCTAGCTGTTGTTTTTTTTTTTAAACTTTTGTAATAAAATAAATATTAAACTTTTGATTTATTTTCAATTTAAAATATCTGTCAATTTCGTTATGTGAAATTAGGGGTGGACAAACCTTAGACCGGGACGAGTCGGGTTCAGATCGAGCCAGCACTAGGGACTTTGTGTCTGCCTAAGTCCAGCCTGAACCTAACATCGGGCCTCTATATCTGCCCAAACCCTGTTCAAAAAATAATTATAAATCCCTAACCCATCCATCGGGTTTTATATGTTAAAATAAATTAAAACATTCCATAATTAAATTCAATCACATTATATTTTTTAAATAAATATATTGATATCATTATAAATTGAAAGATTGTGTATAAATTAAATCACATGTCACCACAAATATGAATTTTAATAAAATTAACAAATATAAAGTCTAGATCTCAATAAAAAAATATATTTTTTAATGTATTATAAATAAATACATAATTAATTAATTTAATAGCAGGCCGGACCAAGCTGGGTTGAAAGTAATAATCCCAAACCCAACCCATTAATATTTCGAGTTGAAAATTTTGACCTAACCTTCGTAAGCCCTTAAAAATAGGACTGGGCAGGCCAACGGTTCGATGTCTACCCCTATGTGAAACCGATAAAAAAAATAATATTTTAATTATTGTTAAACTCAACCAAAAATAGTATTTTAAACATTTTATGTGCATCTGCATTGTGTTTAATGATTAAAATATTATTTTTTCATCAATTTTACTTCAGAAAATAAACTGATGTTTAAAATTAAAAACAAATTCAGATTTAAATTGACAAAATAATAAAATTTAATTCATTTTGTTACCAGAATTAAATTCTGGAGATATTTTTTGTAATTTCCCCTTTTTATTTTTATATTGTTTCATCATTTTGTTGGTTCTAAAACCCAACAAATTTATTTATTTATTTGCAGGGATCGATCTTCACAGCAGAGCAATGGTGGGGGTAAAAAAAGTTTGATGCAACTAGAAGTCAAAAATCCATAGAAAGAAATAGAAGAGAAGAACTGATTGACAGCAATGAGTATGGAGATAACAATGTAGAAATGAAGAGGCATACATTTTGATATAAAAAGGTAAAGATTTTTTTTTCTTCTTATTGAGAACATGACACATGCAAAGTAACAATTTTCATTGACAGATTGCTGATGATAACACTTTGCATGAATTGAATGCAAAAATTTACTCAGCAAAGAAAAATTACAAAATAAAATAATTCAAAAAGTCAAAAGTCAAGTACATGCTTCTTTGATTCTCCACAGACTAATCCAAAACTTCAAATCTAGCAAATGGGTATCATTATAGTGGTACAAGTCGGGAACAGTATCATCTTCAAGAGCTAAACCAAGAAGTGTGTCTGAGGTTTGGTTCATCATCCCCTTCAGCTTCAAGTGAGAAAACAGTTGAAATGAAGTGATCAAAACAGCTTTTCTAGTAATTTGTAAAACTGGGATTTTGAGCCTTGCCCAAAAGTGAGTCTATGCTGCCCCGGTAAAGATCTAGATTTTTTGCCACAGCAAAACCAGCATACATGCCATCAACAGCCGCACTCACAATCCCACCTGCATAGCCTGCTCCTTCTCCAACTGGGTAGAGTCCTTTTAATGACGTGCTCTCGTAAGTGTCGGTGTTGCGGGGAATCTGGACAGGAGAACTAGTTCTTGTCTGGAGCAACCAAAAATTAGATTGTAACTGCTACGGAGAGATTATATTGAAACTCTTAACCCTTAAGTAGTGTTTGATTCACTGGAATGGAGTGAAATAGAATGATACTGAGGAAAATAATGAAAAATTCATTACTTATGCAATCATAATTCACCATTGTAAGGGAAATGATCATTCCAACTTATGCAATCATAATTCACCATTGTAAGGGAAATGATCATTCCAACGAGGAACCTAAGAATGACCATTCCATTCTATTTCATCTCATTCCAATAAACCAAAAATATTTCCTTTTTCATTTTTCTTTTTGAATTTGGACCTACAAAATTAAAACTATAATTTATTGACAGTGTTTTACAATTACTAACCCAACCAATATGGATTGGAGCAAAATAAAAAGCGCAATTCAAAAACCATGTTTTGTAGTATTGTAGAGCCCTAGATTCGTTCAACTAGACGATCCTAAGAATTTAAAATTTTGAGGGGGGGGGGGAGCCCAATTTTTTGATAAAATTTGGCTTGCTTTCACCTGTAGTAAAATTTTTTTTTTCAAATTAACTCAAAATTTTCAATTTTTAGAATCATCTAGTCAAAACAAACCTAAATAATAAAAAAATTGGATAAATTACACTGACACCTCCTGAGGTTTTTGTTTAATAGAACCCCCACCCCCCCCTCCCCCCGACTCACATTTGAAAAATTACATTCCCCTCCAAGAGATCCGTAATCTCATTACAAATTGTCCCCTGAATTGCTGATGTCATGTCCTAAATTTTTTTAAATTACCATTTTGTCCTTTTTAAAATTATTTCTTCTTCCTATCATGATGACTACATTCTACAACTTTCCATCATTAAATTCTACCAGAACAAATTCTTATTGAGTGATAATATACAAACATAAATTTTATATAGAACACTTTAAAACAAAACACCCATAAACAAACATGATTTATATTTCCAACAATATCACTATCACAAATTTTTTACGATATTTTTTTTATATAAATATAATTTCTCATTTTTATTTCCACCATTATACCTAGATTAGATCAATTTAATCTAGATATATTTAAAAAGTACAAAATTTGTACAAAAAACTTAAAAAAAAATCCATTGAATACAACAAAATAAGATAATGTATTAAATTTTTGTATTTTTTTTTTTATAAATTTTTTTGTATTTGGTGAATTTGAAAAAAAATACAAAACATTATACTTATTAAGTATATCTAGATTAGGTGTATATAAAAAATTAAAAAATTTCTTAAAATATTAAAAAAAAATTGTAAAAATAAAAAAATAAAAAAACTCAATTTTTTGTGAGTTAAACCAAAGAAGATGATTATTTTCCTTAAAATGACATGAACAAAATATCTGTATTATTTTATTATTTTATACGTATAAAGATTAAGGGGTAAATATGTCATTTTAATCTGACAGAGGAGCAAGTGTAATTTTTCAAATGTAAAGGGGATCTGTATTAAACAGAAATCTCAAGGGGTGTCGGTATAATTTACCCTGAAAATTGACTCAAATTTTTCAATTTTTAGAATCATCTAGCTGAGAGAAACCACCTACACAGTAAATAATTTCGACTTAGTTTTAAAAAGTTCAGAAAAGACAAAAATAAGCTGGCTTTTTAGTTTTTGCCAAATGAACTATTGAAAAGGCGAAAACAAAATCAAAACAAAGATCTAGTTACTGAAACCTGCAAAATCGAAAAATGAGATTACCTCTACTCCATGAAGAAGAGCATTATTGGAGATGAATCCTGGTAACTGAAAATTTCAACGTTCAAGAGGACAAATGTCAAAAATTGTAAAAATGAAGACTCAAAAGAAAAGGAGAAGGAAATAAAAATAGAAAGAAACCTCTTTGTCAAACATTGAGAGTGAATTTTGTAAAGCCTCCGTTATATTATTGGGGAACAATTCATGGAGGCTGGCTACCTTCACTCCCAATCGATAACTTGACGGCGGAACAGATGCTCCTGAGCAATATGGCAATTCAATTTAGATAAGGAGTTAGAAGCAAAGAAATTAGAAATTAAAAAAGAAATGGTTTACCAGACAACTTATTTTCCAGAAAATCAGTAACTGTTTGCACAGGCACCACAAAATTGCCCCCTCCCATTGTAGCAGCTCTTCGCTCAAATTCCCTCTGAATAATTGCAATGAATATTATAGCTAAGCTTTGAAAAAAGTATGACAAAAGAATTTGATCTGAGGTCTATGAAATAGTACTATCACACCATGTAAAAAAAGAAAATCACAGAAACAAGTGGATTGATTGAACAAAGTCTGCTAGCAGAAAGAAAATGTTCAAGAGGATTTGATTTGCTGCCGGAGATGAATCCCTCCAACAGAAAAATTGTGGCTACATGACTGGCAAGGAAGAAAATAAAATTTGTGGCTATATGGTCCATCCAACAGTTGTTGATTATACTACTGGCACGGAAAGAAAGAAAAACAAAAGAACAAGAATTACTGGTGGGAATCCATAACACCTAACTAGAATCAGTAAAACACAAAACCCAGAAACAAACAAACGCACAAGAAATATAAATCATATGCACACATGAAGAACACAAGGTTTACAAAACCCCAAACTAGGGTACGTCCATGCTTGTTGCACTTTTCACTATAATATAAAAGGTCACTAGAGATTACAAGAGATAGCCGCCACCCGTCAACTATAAATACATCGAAATTAGGGCAATCGGTCACAAGTGTAGAAATATCATAAATGCCCTTACTAGCAGTCAAGTGGTTAGTGTCCAATATTTATCAAGATCCACACTGCGCCAACAACAACAAAAACATGAATGTCGAACAATAAAAGTACCTGAAACTCAACTCCAGCAAGAGGTCCATGGAAATTTAGAGCATCAAAATCCTTAGATGAGACAGTAACAACGAGAGCTGCATTTGCCCACTTCGATGCACGTCGAGAAAATGACATGCCATTGATACATAGTTCTGATGGATTTGTACTGGTAAGAACAACCTGCAAGTGTATTGTTAAGCAATCCCATCCACATGATCTCAGGAATGATGGTTTCCAGCCTCTCCGCACACTAAACAATTCATGGCGTGATCAATCTAGATGAAGTAAGATTGCATGGCATTTCAACTATGAAAGTAATTCTGAAATGTATTGCCTAAATATGCTTGTGTGTTTCATATTCTATTTCTCCATCCAGATAATTTATTGACAATGCTAAATAAGTTCCTAGATCAGATTGCATAAATTTCCCATTATATGATCCATTTATCGTATACTAATGAAACCATAAATTTCTGGTGCATAAGGTAAGCAACCATTACAAAATAGAGTATGGAAAGAAAAAGGTACCAGTCAAAACAAGTAAATCACAAACTACAAATCACACTTTTCTTAGCAGGAATATCATAAGAACCTTACCTGCCCACCAGGACACATGCAGAAGGAATAACAACCACGCCTCACAGTCCCTGGATTAAAGGTTGTATCCACATCATCTCCTTTAATATACTTAACGACTTTGTAATCAGCAACTGGTACTTTCCCACGTCCACTGCGGACTTCAGTGGCCAATCCAGAATACTGCACATTTGTGTGTATAGATTTGTTTACCATCAAACGATACATTAAACAAATCTCACTTGAAGCTTGGCCAATCATCACAGGACTATATGATACTCGTACCAAATTAAGAAAATTATAGAATTTAGCTACTTTGCAACGGACTAAAGGGGGGAAATACAAAGAAAAAAAAAAGGAATGGGAAAAAATCCTATGAGTACTAATTCATCAGTCTTCTAGAAAGGTGTGATGCTCATGTCCTAAGAAGCATGTACACGGACACATGACACGGCCTGGATACGACACAGACACGCTGACACATTAATTTTCAAAAAATGCAGGACACGACAAGTGAGGACACGCATGAAATATATAATTTTATATATTTATTATATGTTATATATATAAATATATCATTCAAAGATAATAAAAAAAATGCAATATGATACTAATTTCTGTAAATTTATATGGGTTTTGTTTTATTATTGTATTTTAAGTTGTTTTGTTCAAACTAATAATTAGTTTCACATGTGTCTAATCGATAGACACATGTATTTAAGTGATTGACACGTGTATCCTCCAAGTGTCCAAAGAGTGTCCCGGGTCTTTAAAAAAATTTAAAAAATAGAACACGTTTTGAAAAATGTCAAACACGTGTCCAAAGAGTGTCGGTGTCCGACATGGACACGACACAAATATGTCACCTTCTTAGAAATGTCCGTGCTTAGATGTGGGCATTCCTAGACAAGTGTCCAACAACTCATTGATGGGTCCATAGTTCAAAATTTGATTCACTATGCTCGGCACTCGATTGATACATCTCAAACACTATCCAACACATGAACTGTTAACATAAGCACATCTTAATAGGAGCTATGCCCAACATTAGTTGCATGAAGCGGGGGTGGGGCCACGTAAAAGAGTCAAAAGTTGAAAGCACCAATTGGAACGTTTATATATTTCATATATAATATGTTTGTAAGAAATATTTTTTTTTCTTAGTTGTAAACTTGTAATATAGATGTTAAAGTGAACATCAAACTCTTTTTTTTGTGTGTGTGTAAATAAAAATAAATATTATGTAAACTACTAGAAAATATTTGAGTTAATTATTTTTCTATCATCTGATGGATACTATAGATTTTATCTTGCATGGAAGCTTTTCTTTTGTTTCTTTGGGATTCATATATTTGAGAGGTTTCATGCTAGTTGAGAATGGGGTTCTTTCTAGATAGGAATATGGTTCCGATAGGTTTCTAGCTCTGAATTGTGGAATCGCAGTTCTGGAGCAACTTTGTCACCCCCCAATAGAAGGTTCCTACAAAAAAGTAACTGGTACTCTTGGAAATAGTAAGAAAATTAAGAAGTATAACTATCTTTTTGGAAGAAATTTTGACAATATATAGATAGACAATTCTAAGCATGAGCAATTTTTACTATAAGGAGGAAGGTATAATAACAGACTTGATGCAAATGTATGGAACTATGTTATCTGGAACATGGATCGTTCTAATAAAAGAATAGAAACGTGATATGCCACATGTTTGACAAATGTTGTACGATAAGGATAGACTTGTATAGATTACTATAAGAATTTAAAGTACTTCTAGAGTAATTTTTTTCTACCAATTAGACATTCAATAATACGTAGGTTTTTTTTTTTTTCTTTTTCTTTTCAAATTAATAATGTAGCAACACATTTTTATGAATATTATGGCCCATTTAACATTGTCTGTTAAAACTTCACTCACATTATATTTTATTTTTCTCTCCTAAGGAAACCTTGAGGAAATATATTTGACAAAACTTTTGCAATCATTTTGGATCACTAAATTTAATATTTTGTAAAAATGTACCATGTTTCAAAACATGCATTCCAAAATATAATTAGCTAGGATATTAGCGTTTTCTCCTCCCTCCATCATCATAATTCGCACTGAACCCAGCAACACAAACCTACCACCAGCAACACCACTGCTTACCTACATCAACTATACCACCAATGGCAACTCCATAAAACCATCAACTAATTAATTCCTCAATCCAATTGAACAATGCTGCCTTTGTAAAGGTTCAAAACTTCAAATCCATTACATATAATATAATACATACATAGTATACATGTATGTGTAATGCTATTTTACAGAAGCCATGAGTTGTGAATTATGAATTGATTCTGAAGCTAGCAATTTTCTTTTTGGAAAACCCATTATAGCACAGACGGGAAACCCAGCAATTAAATGACAGTGCCATTCTCGGAATCTTGGAAAACCCATTTGAAAGAGTGTGAGAAATATTAGAATTGGACCATTGTTTGATTCTTTTTCTCTTGCAAAAATCATAACAGTAACCCCATCAAAATTGTAAGAGAGCATTTATGTAATATATATACATATATACAGGGAGCAAAGAGGTGGTGGTTTTGTTGGCTGCCTAGTGGAAGTTGGCTGGCTTATTAAAGTAGGGATGGAGCTTTGGTCTAGAGAGAGAAAGGAGAAGAGGAAAATGTGATGGCAGTTCCAATGGTTGTGGGTTTCATCTCATTAGCCCAATAACACCAACACACTGACATGGGAGGTCTGTGTTATGTTATTTCAAAAACCTTAGGGAAAGTCTCTTAGTCGTCATAAATCTCAGGGGAAGGTCAGTGTAATTTACCCAAAATACTAAAGAGAGCTGGGAAATTAGATTCCAATGCCAATATAGTTATTTGGCAAGATTCCACTTTAGAACTTGCCTAGGGAATTAACTATTTTAAGGTTGTTATTACTTTTTTTATTTTTTTTATTTTTATGTTTTGTTTACTTTTCATGTCAGTGCCAGTTTTGTAATTTTCTTTCATGGGCTGTAAAGTGAGCTGGCAGAATGGGCTATTTGTGTGTGTTGCAGATTTACTTGACCAAGATTTACTAGGCTTTAGAGGTCAAAATAGACCATGACTTAGCTTTTGGGCACCCAGTTTGTTTGGTCTCCAAATTCACTTGGTCACCAAGTTGACCCCCCATGAATTTTTATGCAATGCTGTAGTTTGTTGGAGGTAATATAGAGAGATTGAAACATCCATATATAGAGAAGCAAAAATGCAAACGAGGGAGAAAGAATGAAAATGGGAAGTAAATGCAAATTAAGAGACTTGAACCCAAGACTTCCCCCAACCTGAACTCTAATATCATGTTAGATCAGCACGATATCCAAAAGCTTTAACTGTTAGAAAATAGGCCTAACAATGTATATCGAACTATCCAACACTTGAATCACCTTGTACCATTCCATGTTCTCTCTAAGATCTTTGAGACTATGTTTGGATTAAGGATTTGAGTACGGAATTGTAGAGGGAACGGAAAAGGGAAAGGAAGAAGTGGCTCAACGAATTATTTGCAAGTAATTCATTTCCAAAATGCCAAGGTTTTTTCAAAAAGAATGGGCCTCAATTGTTTTTGGGTGACTAAAATATAGAAGGCTTGGTACACTAACAAGAATGGGCCTCTATGCAATTGGGTATATTTACTAGTTACAGGAAATGCAACCAACCTCTCACTTACCATAAGAAAATGGAGACACATTTTTATTATACTATTCCATTAAGATCTTATTAGTGTACTTATTCAAATGGATATCTTAAGATAATCTTAACAACATACCAGGCACCCTAGTCACATAAACACATACTTGCACCCAGGAGTATAAAAGAAGAGAAATAAAAAAATAGAAAATTGAACTAGAGTTTTCCAAAAGCTTATTTTGAACAGTTTACTAGAAACATACTGACAGCTGTTCGCAGTTTCAAAAACTCAAGTCCTAATTATTTTTTTAAAAATTTATTCCTTCTGTTTCCACAAATTCAAAAGGTAAAAATTGAAATGAAGATAAAAGCAAAGGGGCCCTTAATAATTCGATCATGTCCAAATATCCTAGGATTTTGAGTAATAGATAAATTGATACATACCCATCCCAACATCCATACTCAAGTTCATATAACATTGATATATGTATTGATGTACATATTTGTCTGCAATAAGGAAGCAGAAGGACATAATAATTTCATTTTTCTAGAACCTTCTTGTGGTAAAATCAAAGGTACATCTATTGTTTCCACAGTTACATTTGAAACAATTCTATGTATGAAAGAAGCTGTTCACTTACCTCTTTTGACATTCCAAGTGTGTCACAAGTTTCACCTTCCTAACTGGAAATGTTGAACTACATTCTACTACAAATACGGGAGGTTCATGTAAATTCATACTAGCTTAAATCATTGACAGAAGCTACATTATTATGTCAGTTCGCATTGTTCAACTACTGTTTATTTGTAGTTCAATAGCTTGACCATAATCCCTTCGCTGGATAAATCTAACTTATTTGTTAGTTTAGACTTCACTTGGCTGTGGCTTAAAAGTCTATTTATTGGTTAGAAAAACCCATTTCGTCAAAAACAACCTTAGCTCATTTGGCAACTCATTTATCGTTAACCCACTTTAACCAAAAGTCAAAAAGGCTAAGAATATGCCAAACAAACTAACTTTTTTAACTTTGCCTTTTTTCGTAGGCTTATTTTAACTAATAAAAGATAATTTATTTGACACATTCTTAACTTTTTTTGACTTGTTTAACAGCTTTTTAAAATAATTAAAATGGACTTCTTGATGAAAAAATGGGTTTGCCAAATGAACATTTTTTTAGCAAAATGGCTTTTTAGCTAATAGCCACAACCCAAAGGAAGCCAGAGGTTTTTTGGATTGACTTTTTTAGTGCCTTTCTAGCTTTCCTTTTTTTTTTTTTTTTTTTTTTTTTTTTTTTTTTTTTTTTGAGATTGGCACGGGGATGTCCGAATCAAAGCTTGACTAATCCCCTAGGGATGCACAGTCCCTCAACAAGAGTTTCCTACAAGTGCATCATAGTTAATTCAAGGGTTTTCTCCTAGTCCAATGGCCCTAACAAATTGTTAGCACCTAAAAAGTTTCGATCTCTGAACCATGGAAAGAGCACACTCCCAAGACCGAAGGCCTTGCTACCAGGCCAACCCCTTGGGAAGTTACTAAAAAAGTTCCCTTTTTGGCTTTTTTAGAAACTAAAAAAGCTAATATGTATGGGAAGTTACTTAAAAAGCTACTCTTTTGTGAGTGAAAAAATTGAGTTTTTTTTTGCTTTTTTATTTGTTGGCTTCTTTTAGGAGTTAACTAAAAAGTTGTCTAAAAAAAAACTAATGCTACAAAAACTAGTTCGTTTGGCACATTTCCAACTTGTTGACTTATTCTAATGGTTTTTCGGGGTGGCTAAAGTAAGATTTTGGCGAAGAATGTTGTTGCCAAACTAGGTAAGGCTTTTTTAGCAAAATGAGTTTTTTTAACCAATAAACCGGCTTTTTGGCCATAACCTTCTCGCTTAAAAGTCAAATTATTGACTAAAAAAAATCATTTTTCTAAAAAAAAAAAACAAAAAAAAAAACAAGAAAATCCACCAAACAAACTAGATTTTTAGCATTAATTTTTTGTAGGTTTATTTTTAGCCAATAAACTAGCTTTCTAACTAACTCCCACATAAAGCCTCATTTGGCTAGGCTTATAAGTTCATTTTGCTAAAAAAAGCTTTAGGTTGTTTGGCATGTTCATTTCCTAACAAAAAATCAATTTTAGCTACTTAAAAATGCCATTAGACTAGCTAATGCCAAACAAACAAATTTATACAAGTAACAGCTTATCTGATGTGAGCTTATTTTAAGCCAATAAGCTAACTTAAAAACTGAATGCTGAACAAACTTTAAGAGCTAGTCTGGGAATGATGTTTTTGGTAGTTTTTATTTTTATCTTTATTTTTTAGCCAAAACATTTAGTAAATACTAAAAAGTTACCCTTTTGTTAGTAGAAGAGTTGAATTAGTTATTAGCTTTTTTTTTTCATTGTTGAAACTTTTTGGTAAAAGTAAATAGACCTTTTTCTTTTTTTTTAAAAAAAAGTAGCCAAAAAATGGCTAGAAAGTGAAAACGAAACATAGAGTTGAATTCAAAACTAAGTGCCAAACAAACTTTAAGAGCTAGTTTGGGAATGATCTTATTGGTAGTTTTATTTTTTTAGCCAAACATTTAGCAAATACTAAAAAGTTACCTTCTTGTTAGTAGAAGGGTTGAATTAGTCGTTCGATTTTTTCATTGTTCAAACTTTTTAGTAAAAAGTAAATAGAATTTTTTTAAAAAAATTAGCCAAAAAATGGCTAAAAAGTGAAAACCAAACATAGTTTAGGCTTCCTTTGAGAGTTAACTAATAAGTTAGCTCTATGTGGGAATGGGAATGAGAACGGGGTACGTCACATGCTCTAAAATATGGTACGATAGAAGTAGATTTATATATATAACACTTAAGAATTTAAGGTACTTCTAGAATAATTTTCTTTTTATTAGGTATCCAATAAATATATATATATATATATATATATATTTTTTTTTCATGTAGCAAATCATTTCTATGAAAATTATGACCCATTTTTTATTTTTTGTTTTGTCAACAATTTACTCACCGTAGATTTTAATTCATATATTTGATTTTGTGTCTCCTAAGGTAACATTTAAGAAAATATATTGGAAAAAACTTTTGGAATCGCTTCAGATCACTAAATTTACTGTTTTGAAACGAAAGTGTACCATATTTTGAAACATGTGTACCAAAACGTAATTCGTTGAGGTATTAGTGTTTTCTAGTAACATAGTTTATTGGCTAAAAATAAGCATAAAAAAACCATTACTAAAAAAGCTAGTTGTTTGGCACATTCTTAGCTTTTTGGCTTTTCTAATGGTTTTTTAGAGTGACTAAAGTGGTATTTATGGAGAGAGATGAATTTGCCAAATGAGCTAAAACTTCTTTTTAGCAAAATGGACTTTTTAGCCATAGCCAAACAAAGCTCTTCATTTGGCTCCAGCTTAAAAGCAAACTAATCGGCTAAAAAAACCTATTTTGCTAAAAAAGTCTGAACTCATTTGACAAATCTTTTTTTCGCCAAAAAGCTCACTTTAACCACTCTAAAAAGTCATTAGAAAAGTCAAATAAACTAAAAACGTACCAAATAAATTAGCATTTTTAGTATTAATTTCTTTTTATAGGTTTATTTATAATCGATAAACTAAATTTTTTAATTAACTCTCGAAGGAAGCCTAAGTTATAATCTATTCTAATAACTATACCAAACAAGCTTGTAGAGTTTGGCAATGGCTTTTTTACTCTCTCTTTTTTTTTTTTTGGTTTTTTAGAATCTAAAAAACCTCATGCCTTTGGTAATTGCTAAAAATGTCACTTCCATGTCAGTTGGGAAGTTGGCTTGCCTGTTTAGTTGCTTTTTTAGCTCAAGACAAACATACTTTCTCTTTGTGGCTTATTTAGCCAGAAAGTAGCCCTTTTAGCCCATGCCAAACAGGGCCTCCTCCTAGATTTGCCAAAGTAATTATTAGAATTGATTATTTGATACCATAGTCCTTTGTACAATGCTAAAGGTCTTTATTATTATTCTTTTTATCAATTGATAGAAAATCAGTTACATCAATTAGACATAATTATAAAAGAAAGATCAACACATATCCACAATTATATAGCAAACCCATAAATAACAAACCAACAAACACAAGTTTTGGATTAAATGACAACGTAAGCTTTAAGTTGACTTATTTGGCTTAAAATAAGCATACAAACAAGTTATTGCTTAAACAAGCTAGTTTATTGGCATATTCTAAAATTTTTAGCTTTTCAAATGGCATTTTTAAGTGGCTAAAGTTGGCTTTTGGGGAGGAAATGAGCATGCCAAACAATCTAAAGCTTTTTTTTAGCAAAATGGACTTAGAGATAAGAGCTGCCAAACGAAGCAAAGTGAAGTTAAATATAGCAAAAGCTAGAGTTTAAATGTTATTAGCTATCTAAATTGGACAATGAAACACTTAGCTCCATTTGGTTTGGGCTCTTTTAGTAACTTTTTAGCTAATTAAGTTAAAATAAAAAAAGATTATCTGTTTTTGGCTCAAAAGGTTAACAATAAAAATAAAAAATCCTAAGGACCCACTCTACTTTCTCACTAACAATTTTTTTTGTTCTCTAACCATTTACCAAATGCATCAGTTTTTTTAGCAACAATTATATCCTAATAAAGCAAAAACGATACTAAAAAAGTCATTACCCAGCTAGTAACTGCGGCTAAGAAGTGAAGTTGCAAAGCATAATATAATTGGTCAAGCAGTGACTCCAAATTTGACAAAAAAAGCACAGAAAGATTAACAAGCAAGCAGGATGAGTAAAAAATTCCTCCAGAAGAACAGACTGCATAACCAACCTGTATGCTGTTTATTAGTTCTTGAGGATGCTCAATTCGCAACCCAACCTGTTCAGCCATGCAAGTCATTACTAAAAGAAAAATGCTTCCAATATAAAAGCATAACCACCAAATTTACAGCAAAACTATCAATCCCCACATATTAGATAAGGTGGCCACAAACAAAGAAAGCTTAAAATTGTGATCAAAATACTTCTGGATTCAGATTTCTTAACTTTTTTGTTTGCTCCAAATATATATATATATATATATTGATGGAACTTAAGGCTTGGTTTGGTTATATATATACGAGAAAGAAAAAGAGAAAAGTTAAAAAAAGTTTTTTGAAAAATGAACTGGGTTAGCAGGTCAGTCTCGTGTTGAGTCCCTAAACATTAATGGAGGCAGTGGTTCTGCTGTTTGGGATAGGCCTGTAAGTGGATCGGATTCGGATCGGATCTGTCAATATCAGAATCCGATCTGATGAAGACAAACCCGAATCCGAACCGAATCCGTTTAGTCCATACCCGATTATAGATATCCGAATCCGAATCCGATGATTTCGGATATCCGACCCGATAATCCGATCCGATCCATTTATTTATTTATTTATTGAGCTATAATTTTATATAATTTGATTTTTTTATTTTTATTTTTTCATTTTGTGTTTTTTTCATTCAAATTGAGAATAATCGGATCAGTTTATCAGATTATCGGATCGGATCGGATTTTTGCATATTCAATCCGTTTAATAAACGGATTAAACGGATTCGGATTATCGGATCGGATTTTTTGTAAACGGATTCCGATTATCGGATCGGATTCGGGTCGGATTTGGATTAAATCCGATCCATTGACAGCCCTAGTTTGGGATATGATCCAATATCCAAGCATACTTGTACTTGATATTGATGCCACCACGCTTTTACCGGTGATCAAGGAGGTCATATCAATCATATCAAAAGATCATGATAGAAAAAGGAAAAAGTTAAATAAGGACTAAATTTGGTTTTACTATATGTATAATGGTGACTATTAATTTGTGTACTCAGTGTAAGCACCCCCACCCCCACCAACTCTGTGCACATGTGAGATCCCCATGCACATGCCAATAGATACATGTACAGGTGGCACCCATGGACGCACCTGTGTGCAATCGAATGTGCATGCGCAGAGAGACATAAAGATCTCAATATGGTAGGAAAATTATACAATTTTCAAAAGAAGTGCATGACAGAAATATCTTGGCTGACTGACACTAATAGAAACTCACAGAAAAATCTTTCGGACACAGGTTCATATCATGAGACAGAAGCATTTGATATATATCACGGGCAGAATGTCCAACTGCAAGAACAACTGCATCACATCCCAACTTCTGGCTATCAAACTTTAAGTCGTTGCTTGAATCAGAAATTTTCACCCCCACAACACTTCTATTCTCTACAAGCAAATCATCTACCCTTGTGCCAAACCTGATATTAACCTAGGCACATCAATACAAGAAACCAAATTAGTAAAATAGCAACCAAGTACTAGAATAAATTTATTTAAGACGCTTAAAACAATGCATTTCTTTGTCTTGGAGAAGTCAAATAGGCAACTCACCCCCAATCCTTGTAGATGCCGCCGAAAGTTGCGTAATAGTGGAACCAATCTGTCAGTTCCCAAATGAGGCTTTCCATCAACCAAGATATTCTTTGGAGCTCCAAAATGAACTAACGTTTTCATAACCTGAGGATGAAGTGTAAGTGTAACTCATTCAACGGAAAATAGCTTTATAATGACAGAGACTCTATACGCAGAATGCTTGGAAAAACAGATCATACAATACACACAAAGAAGCTAAGCTACTAGGTTAAGGAAATGATCCTCACCGCCAAAACACTACAGCTGTTCCTTCCAATTCTAGTTACTAGCTTTCCATCGCTCCAAGTACCTGCACCACCCTGCCACGTAAGTCCTCACTCCTCAATACTTCACTCATGACAATTTAACAGATAATCTCTAGCAAAGCATGTGGAAAAATTTACACATCAAAAATAACTAAATTAATGTGATCAATCAGTAATGTTATGCACGCATATCAAACAAGCTGTAATTCTAGATCATTTTAGCATTGATGTGCTTTAGATTCTTCTATATACATGTCCACAATATCAAATTTTTAAGCGCATCATGCAAGTACAAGCAATATCTCTATCGTTCATATGGTGATAGCGACGTATGAAAGCATCCATTAAGCTAAAAGTATTTTGGGTAAATTACACTGACACCCCCTGAGGTTTGCTCTGACTACATTAATACCCTTGACCTTTTGGAAATTATGTCCCCCTCCCTAAATTTTAAAGTTGCATTACCGATTGTCCCCTCCATTAGTTGACTTTTAGGTCAACTAACAGATTTTGCTGATGTCAGTAGTTCGAGTTTTTCATATACCAATTTTACCCTCACTATATTTCTTCTCTCTTTTGAACACATAGCAGCCACCCCTCAAGGTAACCACCACTTCCTCCTATATCCTCCTCTATTACTCCATCTCCTCCTTCCTAGAATTTATCACACAACTACCACAAATATCACAATTTTTTTTTGTCTACATGAAAAATTAGTTCTTTGAAGCAATAAATCAAGCAAGTAACATGCATAACTTTACCACCATCAAGCATATAATATATGTACACAAACAACCAACAAAATCAGATTTTCATATATATAATAATCATTCCAATAAACGGAAAAAGAAAACAGAGAAATCAAATACTAAAGACAGAAAAAGTGAGTAACTATGCCAATATGGTTATCATTATAATCCAATAGACAACCCCAATTCAATAAAAAACCCATCCAGTGCCAAATTTCCATCGCCCAGATCTCTATTTGTCTGTGACCATAGCACACCGGACCATGCCACCTCCTGCCCCACCCTTCCATCTTCGCGTCCCACGCATCACGACCCTGTTTTCCATTCTCCAACAACCAGCGAAGACCTTACACCATGACCCCATCCCTCTTATCATTCTGCAATGGATCATCAATGTACCACCCTAGCCCTGACGCACAGCCAACACCACAAACCCGAATTTCTTCTCTCAACCTTTCCCCTTCCACTTCTTACCAACCAAGCAAAGCAACTACCATAGACCCAACCCTTCATTTTGCTCTGTTTGCGTTTGTGTTGCTCCATTTGTGGCTGATTTGATTCTAAGTGAGGGCTCTATTTTGGGCTGCTGGTGTTGGTCGGTGGATTGGCAAGCAATGGTAATGGTGGTTGTTGGCTATAGCAACGTCATGATGGTTGTTGGTATTGTTGGTTGTTGCAATTGGGATATTTTTCTGTAAATCCACCATCAAGCCCATTTAAATAGATTGAGTATATATTAGGTTTTAGAAATAAGGAACATGTGATATATATATATATATATTTTTGATAACTAAGGATATCCGGGCCAACTTGCGTGCACCTTGACTAATCCTTGGGGGATCAATCCCACCGTCCACTAGCAGGGCGCCCGATTAAAGCCAAAGCACAGCTTCGTATGGACTAGCGTGATATATATATACATATATCTGTGTTGCTTCCATGTTTGTATACATACATATGTCGGTGCTATATATATGGTTGCTAACCCAGTAAGCAATCTAGTTGCTAGCTAAATAAACAATTAAGCCATTTATTACAAATTTCCACCACAAACACGATATTTTCAATGGTCTATTGATGTCTTTGATTTTAGGGTTTCAACGACATTGTTAATGGTGGCTATTGGGAGTGACCAGTGATTTTTTTGATGTTGTTGTAATTGCTTATGGTCATGATCGTGGGCACCGGTGGGTGTGGTGGTGGGGGTTGATCGGAGACAAGGACCTCTGTTTTACGAATATGAGGGCCAAAGAGGAAACAGGAGAGCTGAGAGCAATGAGGTAAATTCATGTTTTTAGGTGAGGGTACAAATGTAATTTTATGTGTTTTATTGTCTCCGTTAATGGACAAACACTGACAGAGGAGGTCAGTGTAATTTCCAAAACGTGAGGGAGAAACTTGTATTAAACTTAAACCTCAGGGGGTGTTAATGTAATTTACCCAAGCATTTTTTTAAAAAATGAAGAAAACACTAATATCTAGTCTACATAATAAAAGATTCACCATGTTTTGTCTCGGGTTATCTCGGCTAATGCACATCTAGAAAAGATAACCCTATTCTAGAAGGATCATATAAAATGGCAGCTCAAAATAGTTTCTTCCCAAAGAGATCTACATGACTCATGTGTCATTACAATCTCAGCCAAAACATTGAAACATGGTCCAAATGTGACAGCTGGAGCCATAAAACATACAAATACTTTATTGTGAGACAAACACTAAGATATTATGTGGCAAAATAAGCAGCTAGAAATTACAAATTTTACAAGCAACACTTGAGTAACCTACCCTTGCAGGTTTACGATATCTAATTTTTAAATATCGATTATGGCAAAGTAAGCTCTTAATGCCAACTGCCTCCATCCCATATTCAAGAATCTTGGATAGAAGTTTTTAATTGGCCTGGTTTGACAAACAAATTATTATTTAAAATTTCATCTAAACAAAAAATTTTTTATATAAATAATCTAAACAAAATGTTGACCTGGTTATATTATAATTTTGCACAAAAAAAGTTGGAATTGTCAATTTTTTTTTTAGATGTTTATAAATATAATTGAATGAAAGCTCCCATGTCTTCCTGAAGCCATAGACCATTCTTTGTTGTTTAACTAGCAATCTTGCATTCTTTTGGCCTTTCAAATGCACTCTAGTGACTTCCAAGTTAGTTGTCAACATAATGATGTAATTTTCTAATTAAAATTTTTCATCACATAGAGTACAATATGTAGTCAAAAGTAACATATATGTTATGTGTATTGCTATGATTAATATATAATTTAATGAGAGATGATAGCATAATAACAGATTACCAAAGTCATGACCAATACTGTGGTATAATATGGAATTTAAAGCTTTAATTGTCAAGGAGAATCAAGATATGACCTCTCCAAAGCAAAAATTGCTTTCAAGTTGTAAAATTCGTCGAACTACCAAAGCGCCAATATCACGACCCCTTTGTTCAACTGCTTGACCCCTTTCTATTAAGGTAACATCAGCACCAAGTTCTGCAAGCACAAGAGAAGCAAACAACCCTGATGGTCCACTGCCAACAACACCTACTTTTGGTTTTTTAGTTGCAGGGTACTTGAATGATTCACCCAATTGAATATGTCCACCTTCATTTGAAACTACACCATTATAGATCCTTCTATAATCATGTATTACGTTAATTATATCACCAGAAACTCTTTCATCAAGCATATGCTCTATCAACCCAACTTTGGGTTCCAGTCGAGAAATGAAGTCCCAAGTGCGAGGTTCTAGATCCAAGAGTTTAATGACATCCATGTCTACAGTATATACAAATTTGGGCTCCTTCAGCGACTAGGAAATATCATGAGAGAAAATTGTGAGTACATAAATAACGAGGAGTCCAGTTATTTTCAGAATTGTCGTATATGCATTATAAACCAAACTGAAATTTCAAAATGAATAGAATGAAAGAGAAAATTTATAATGATTTTCCATTCACGCCAGATATTTGAACCATCTGGCAACTCCATGGCAAGGTGTAAAACCAACAAGTATAATTTGAAGGAAAAAATGAAATGACTAGGGACATCCACATATAAACTCAATCAATGGCTAATTTTTAAAAACTCAATATTGAGTACAATGAAGGGGGATGTTTGCAATTGATCATAATTTGCTCCATAAAGCCTAACCTGAGGAACTAGGATTAAGGAATGGTTACATTTTAACATTTACATAACTAAGGAAGAGCTACTTCCTACAATGTAAAATATTTTCATTAAGTGTCAAGTAATTGGCATTTTCTTCTGCGGCTAAACTAATGTGTGTGTGACCCTAGAAACTTGTGTTCTTAAAGTTAACTGAACCAATAAGAATCCACTACACAAGCCAATATACTTAGAACAAAACAAATGAACAGCAATATGTCTTCACATTGAACTAACCTTCCTTGCATCAAAAGATTTCCGAACAACTGAGAATGCTTCTGGCGGCAACATAGAAGCAACCTGGCACAATTAAGAAGAATAAAGTAAAATTCAATTAACATTATATAATAATACTCCAATATATAAAAACCAAAACCAATCCAGGACTGATTTGTAGTACAAAATTGAGGAAGCTTTTAAACATCAAACCTCAAAACAAAGAGAAGCAACCGAAAATTAGAATTTCATGGAATTAGTGCTAGCTCACTAATATCTAGTCTACATAATAAGGGGGAGGAATTCAAACAGAAAGACTAATCTCAAAACCCAAATTTCTTTTCAATTTCCTAAGCTTTCTGGGAAGCCAAACGGGAATCTGCACAAACCTCAAAACAAAAACAAAATGAAAGACTCTTTTTGGCTGCAAAGTAAAAGTAGGAAAATATAAGCAACCAAAATTGCAATTATCAGTGCTAGATTAGGAAAACAATCCAAGATAAAGTTTAATATCAAAACCCAGTTTTCTTTTTCTTTTTCCATTTCCTAAGCTTTCTGAGAAGCCAAACGAAACTAGAAAACAACAAAATTACCGGGAATTCGAGAACTTTGGCAATTTCTTCAAGTAAAGCGTCCGAAACATCAAGAAAATCTTTTCCAGGGTCTCTGTGGACTGAGACTCCGAGCTTCGATAGCCTCCAAAACCCTTCAAATTTTTGGGGGACATCGATTTGGGTTTGCTGTCTGGACTTGAGCTTCTTCTTCTCAGAGGGGTATCTATACTTTCCGGTTCGTTGGGACCTCTTGGCGCATCGGATCGAGAGTAGTTTTGGAGCAGAGAGAGGGGGTGGGTTGGGGTTAGGAAATGGAAGTTTAGGGTTAGGGTTTGGGAGGAGAGAGAGATGAAGAGGGATGAGCTTGCAGTTGCAGGTGATGGACATAGCTGTGAGGCCAGCAGGGGATGAAAGTTTCAAAAGTGGAGACAGAGATAGGGTCCGTTTGGATGAGGTTTTTTTAGTTAAAAATTAAAAGTAACTTATAAATTTATTTAAAATATAAATCATTGTATTTGGTTTGAGTTTTCTGAATTAAGTTTTTAAAAATTGACTTTTTTAATTTTTGTATTTTTTTGTTTTTAGTGAATATTTTTTAAATTTTAAATATTTTTTTTTACTTTTTTCGATGCACCTTACTTAGATGTATCTAAAAACTAAAAAATTTGTAAAAAAATATTTTAAAAAATTAATAAATACATAAAAATACAAAAAATGTACTGAATTCTTGTATTTTTTTGTATTTTTGGCATTTAGTGAATTTTTAAAAGTTTTTTTACAATTTTTTTACTTTTTAGGCGTATTTATGTTAAGTGTGTCTAAAAAATAAAAAAATTGCTTAAAATATTAAAAAAATTCAGTAAAAACAAAAAAACGCGAAAAATAAGAAAGTAGAATTTTCTGAAAAGTGTTTTGGAAAACTGAAAACCAAGCAAGGTGAATTGTCTTGAAAAATTATAAATTCTCTATTATTAAAATTTTTTATTTAACAAAATTAATTAAAAAAATAACTTGATAAAAGGAAATAAATAAATTAATTGAAATAAATTTATTCAATTAAATTCACAATAAACAGTCCCTTAATAAAAATAATCTAGATTATTAATTAAAATAAATTTCTAATATCATTAAAAAGATGATTTTTAGTTAAGATCCCTAATAATAAGGTCTCTTTTGGGAAGTGGCTGATAAGCTAACTTATTGACCTTTTAATTTATTTTTTATCACATTATCTCTTTACTTTTTATATGTCTTTTTATAATAAGCAAAAAAAAACGGACTTATTTAGCATTTCTCAAAGTAGGCCTAATATTTTTTTTAGAAAAATAAGGATGTGGGGAAGAAGTTTTGGAAATACTCTTCTGATCCTAAGGGACGCTCGTGATCCTCTTCTGGCCACCTGAAAAGAAATAAACACTCCGGTCGGGGGTGCCGAAATTAGCACTCTAACGGACAAATCAGTCTCAACACTCAAGATTACTTGTATTCTAAGTTAAGCACAACAATTCTCACATACCTTTCTCAGTCTGCTATTCCTTTATTTATACTCGTTCCCTGGGCCTCGGGGTCAGGCCCACTTTTCACTCATTATCTTCTTATTTACTCGGCTCCATAGTTCAATAACTATTCGGCCTATCTATCTATTTTATTCGGCATCCTGGTCGTGCCGGATAGAGCCGAGTAATATCCGTCTTCTAGAGTACGCTTCTGATTCTTTCAATTATCCGGCTCCTACAATTGCCCCCCAAACACCCCACTAGCATCAGCTAGTCGGCGTGTTTGGCTTCTAGTTTGGGAAGACAAAAATTCGGCAGTTAATCCTCTTCGCGATGCGTGTCAGGACGCGCACATGCTTTTTGGTTATTGTAACGCTTTCCCGCCTCATTCGTGCTTCTCTCGCATTTATTACAATTTGAAGCTTAAGTCCCTTCGAATATATGCTTTTTCGAATATTTGGACCTTCCGGACTGTCAGTCGGTATTTCTTCTCCGACGCGTTTTCTGCAACTCCTCTCCGTCTTCTCTTCGTTTTCTTTACCTTTCGTAAGTCTTCTTCTCTTTTGTTTGCAATCCTACTTTCCGTATTTATTTTTGATTTAGAATATCCTTGAGTCCTCACTAAAATGGCTAAGCGTTTGAAAGACCTCCTCTCCAAGGGTCGAATTTCTGGGTTCCGAAGGCATTTCACTATTCCTGATGATGTCCATCTATGTCTAGTAACGGACAATTCCCTTGATATGGAGAGGGACGACCAGAACACAATCGTCTTTCCTCTCCTATCTATTGCGGAGGGTGGAGTTCGTTTTCCTCTACATCCATTTCTTAGGGCCGTACTCCGCCATTGGGGTCTAATTCCCTCGCAACCCAATGTGAATTTCTTTCGAATCGTAATGGGAATTGTAGAGTTGAACTGGCGTCTCAGGATCAATCTTGGCATTCCGGCGATTTGGCACTGCTACCCTTTAGCCAAATCCTCTGGTCGGCTCGGGCGATACTTTCTAAGGGCCAAGGACACCGACTATCACTTGGTAACGATGCTTGCCAGCTCTGGCAAACAAGTTGACGATGTAATGGTCAATGTCCGAGGCAACTGGGAATTCGGCGAAGGCGAGGATCACCTAGACCCTATTCCCAGACGGAGGGGTGAACCAGGTTGCTGTGTAACTCTTTGTTTGTTGACCTTTTTTTTATTCGGCTTCTTCTCCAAATCTAATCCTCTGTTTTTACAGGCAATAAGTTGAAGAGGATTCTGTCCTCGGCTGACGACACAGTCCTTGCGGAAATTAAGACTGCACTAAAGTACTTTGGTCGTCCAAACGTACAGAAACAAAGCAGAGCTGTCCATATTCTCCTGCGATACGAGCCTACTTATACTATGTTCTCGGCCGCAGACAACATTCCGATCCTAACCGGCGAACGACACCATACGGCTCTTATCTTTCCCAGCTTCAAGACCCTTAGACAAATTGGTCTCGAAACTTTCGATTCGGAGTAAGACTTAGAGCCGGTGGTCGAGGTAGTCGCTGAATCAACCAGGGAGTTCGCTGCCAAGGCCGAAGAGGTCGACAAAGCTCTGAAATCAGCGTTTGAGGCTGCCGGTCTTAACCAGCCTGACTCACGACCACTTCGGGTCCGGTAGAGTTTTCCTTTGGAGATATTTTTACAGACTTGGGGGACCTACCCGGCGATTTTTCTGAAGGCATAGCTAGGGAACATCTCACGTAGATGGCGAGAAAGAGAAATGCCGAGCGAATGGCCGCTCGAAAGAAGGCGGAGGCCGCTCGTTCTGAGCCTGCCCCGGTTGAATCTTTACAACCCGTTACTGTAGAGGGAACGGCTCAAGTTGTTGTGGATGAAACGGAGAAGGAGGGCGAACAACAGATTACGGAAGAACGACTGGTTCTAAAAGAGCGGGGCGAAAAACGTAACGCCGAGGGAGAGGCCGGCTCAGAGGATAGCCCTGCTGGCAAACGGCCTCGTTTAGAGGAGTTCGACGTGGTTGTTCCTTTTGTTGTTCAACCAAAGATCAAAAACACACCAATCTCCGCTGACGCATCTGTCATGAAAGATCCCGTTATGGCGTTGAGCTTGGCCGCCTCAGTTTCACTCTCGGCTGACAAGGCCATTTTTCGAGAAGAGCCGGATTTGGCGGCTATAGCATTCGCTGCCCAGTCGGCCCTTCTCGTATGTATACGATATTCTCTTTTTTACTCGTTTGGTTTGGTTTGCATACGATATTGCTTGGCTTGATGATCCCAACTTATTTTGCAGACGGTTAGAAGGATAGCCGAACTAGGCCGCCGGCAGCATGATGCCATTGAAAGAATTGCTTGCTTAAAGTCTGAAGCTGAAGGTGAAAGGAGTAGGGCCGAGTTTGAGGCGATAAGAGCCGCAATGGAAAATGCTCGAGCCGAAGCGGAAAAGGAGAGGGCTCAGACTGCTGACCAGCTCAGATCCGAAGCCGAGGATAGGGCGAACGCGAGCGAGGAATCGCTCGAGTTAGCCAAGGTGGCGCTTGCCAAGGCAGAGGCCGAGTTAAAGGAGTTGAAGGTGGCCAAGGAAAAAGCCGAATCCGAAGTTTCTACGGCGCTTGAGGCTGGAAAAAGTGTCGCCTTCAAGGAATACGTAGACGAAGTCCTCAAATTCGAGAATCAGGGATTCAAACATGGGTGGCTCAAAGCCCTTGCTGTCGTTGGAGTTACATTGGCCATGTCGATTAAGTGGACATTGAGCCACTTGAGTCTGATCCCGAGGATTGATCTGGGAGACATCCTAGTTTTATTAAGTATACTCAATTTCAATTTTAATGTACATTTTTTGGATTTTCATATGTAAAATGTCCGCTGCCAGCGCCTAGTTTATGAATGAAAATTTTATATGTACTCAAATTATTTCTCGTGTTGTTTGCTGTATGAGTGTATAGTTAGGAGAATCAGCAGTTAGAACAAAATGTCCAGTTTGCGTGAGGTGGTAGACTTAACAGCCGATTAAAATTAGAGATCTGATTGAATCATAAACAAAATGAATTCATGACTACTGTTCAGATAAATCGATTCGTGGAACGGCTAGGGCACTCGAGCCGTATAGATTGATGAATCTGCCCTTACCCCAACTGGTTCATGAACGTAGAACGCCGAATATCATGTAATGAATCTTGTACGAAAGAATCGATTCGTGGAACAGTTGGGGCACTCGAGCCGTATAGATTGATGAATCTACTCTGATTGAATCATAAACAAAATGAATTCATGACTACTGTTCAGATAAATCGATTCGTGGAACGGCTGGGGCACTCGAGCCGTATAGATTGATGAATCTGCCCTTGCCCCAGCTGGTTCATGAACGTAGAACGCCGAATACTAGTGGTTGATAGGGTGATCGGGGCTTGACTCAGTCGGCACAGGGCTATTGACGCCTCAATATTAATGAGATAGGCTCGGAGATGCTGCCATTGTAGGGAATAAATGGGCGTGTACTTCGTGAGCAAGGGTTCTATTTATGTGCTTAGTGAGGCTCTCAGTCTCGCTCTTTGATGAAGATTAAACAAGTGCAAATGTCAAATAAGCTTTTCTTCAACAGCAAAGGTGAAACGAAGATGCTAGCTGAGCTGGGAGGTGCCATGAATCGGAGCGGTGAACCTTCACGTACGGGCAATAGGACTTCGAGGGATCGGGAGAGACACCAATCTCCTCGTCGTCGAAATAGATCGCCTAGGAGGGACAATCAGCTACAGCGCAAGTCTCCTCAATCCCGTCCTGGAAGGGAATCCGACACGACTCCTCGCCCATTGAGATTCGTGGTCTTCATAGGTAATAGACCAATGACAGAGGCGGATTTGATCATTCGAGATCCAAATGTGGCAGTCGAGTTTACTCGACAGATTTTTCCACTCGAAGTTCAGCAGTCGATGGTAGGTCGGCCGGACATCGAGATGTTTCGTGAAGGCGTTCACGG